CTAAGTTTAATAAAAAATTTTCTATGAAGGTGAGGAACGATGTCTTCGAGGGAACACCAACTGCGTCGTAAGAGAGACGAATATAAATTCAGCCAGTGCCCGATCAAGCATATATACGTAGGCTCAAATTCACGGAACCTGCATTCCATATTAGGCAGAGTAGTAAAATAAATTAAAGATATTACGTTGTTTCTCGTTGTGACATAGTGTAACTGCAACGAGAAAGCAGATACAAATAGATTATACACATGAATTTGGATACCGATACTTTATAGACGATGGCACGATTCACTCGAGCGCCCTATTTTTACCACATCTTTTTTTAATACAAAAGTGTACAAGGTAAGTTTTCTAATCAACAGAAGCCACTTTATTCGGATCTTGTTCATATTGACACGTATGTCGTACTTTTAGCCGGCTGAATGAAGCGATCGCTTCTAAAGCACATTTGTGAGGGTTGAGGATACAGAACAATGTTGACATCTCTATGACGACCCAACTAAGCTACGTAAAAACGCATAGAGCCCGTTCGACCCATGAATGTTTTCTGACATATTATATATATTGTAAGCTATACATGGTAATTTCTACAATCTGTCTGCAAAGCGTAAGTTAATAAGCAGCAATGTCAACTATTACATGGGCGCGGACGTGGCTTTGCCGTTAAAAAGATTCATAGCTTCAAGTTAACTAATCAAAATTTTCGTTGGTTCTTATAAACCAGGGCAAAAGACCCGGTTTGGCGACAACGAATGAGTGCAATGAGCAGGATAAAACTAATGTGATTAATTTTAATCGGATTATATAATATATAGAGTAGGATAATCAAAAGTGTCTTTTCTGAGCCCAACTCGGCAAAGAATACAGTTTCAACCTATCGTAAGGGAGTACATAATCTAAGTAACCTGGACAACAAATTCAATTTTACCATCCAACGACCAGTGTAATACTAACAGAGAGCGGATGAACTTTATTTGAATACTGTTAATATGTTTAATTATGCTCGCGTCTTTAACGACGAAACAGCTGAAATGCGGGAGAGGATCCATATACGACCGTGTACATAGCTTTCCAGCTAGTAGAGAAGATTTACCTAAATCCTTCAGCTATACATCTAATTCACCAAAAACTAATAACTAATATTATCATGTCATTTATATGGTTGAATAACTTACAACTTTTGTACATCAATAAGCTAGTTATCGACTATTTCTTTGAGCAAAGATAGAGCTGCGTACTCGCTAGTAAGCTCGTACGATACTTCAGAGACACGTTTTATTTTCAAGTACCAATCAGAGCTATAATTTTAGCATACGGTCCGCCACTCATCATGCAAATATGCTGTACTGTTTGCATAATTATGGCATTCGTTCATAAGGATAGCAGTTTTCATTTTCATCTGGATCTAGCCTGTATTTACCTTTTATGTGGGGGGTACGCAGACACGTAATGCATCACCGGCCGCCACTGCTGCGAGAACCCCACAGGCTCACTCACTTGATTATTTTACATGCGTCCGCTCACAATAATCTGACCTGAGCAGTAAATTCTTTTTACGTGTCGTCTTGATGCCTGCGAGAGAATCCTGGAGGGCCCTTTGGACATCGATACCTTGTATGATCATCACTAGACCAATGTATTTTTAGGAGATAGATGACATAACGTCTTGGCAATAGCATCGCGCAGAATACCGCACACGGATAAACCATAAGGACATAAAATTGGGGTGTAATCATGAAACCGTTGATAATTTTAGTCCAGGCACGATAGAATGTACGCTTTACCGAGTGTTGATACTAAGTTGTATTCTATGGCAAAATTATCAACAATAGCTCTCTCTGTGCATAAATATATGGCATTAGAAACAGATACGCTGAAAATATGTCAGTGTATAACATAACCGTTCAAATGATTAGGCGACTTTTGCGGCTCCTTGTTCCCCCGTTTTATGTGTATTTATATGCATACGTATAAATGTAGCATAATACTAACTATTCATCACTAAAAACATATATATACCGTGCAATACGTTTACGCCTATCTGTTCGGCCGTTCTGTATATTTTCCTATGCACGCACGAATATATCTTAAGTTTGGATGAAATCTCCGTCAGTCGATACCACAGTTAATATTCATACAAGGCGTGAAGCAGGAGGTGTCCACCGATCAGTGTATTATCGTGTAATCACGCTCTGCCTGTTCTTGTCCTAAACCTATAGGCAAGCGGCACAGTAACCACGCGCTTGTCCGTTCGCCCTCCCTACCAAATAGTTGCTTTGTTTACTATGTCATTGTCCTGCATTATGAAGCAGCAGTGCATGAGGTTTATAGATGGAGCTTACAGGGAAGCCTTTATGATAGCAGGATCACTCTTGCATCCGAGCGCCTAGGACTAGCTGATTATGATTATGATTTTCATATGGTCTTTGCGATGAAGGCTTATATGAGGGAAGTGGAGAAAAAGACCCCTTCTTATAGAGAGCTCTCGGCCATTACGCCCATATAGATAGACTACAAAGAAGACTTAATGGCTGAGACAAAGCACTATGATCCTCAGCCCCTTGTCAATACTCCGCATCGCATCCTCCCAGGCCATTCTGCCTCTATGTTTCGACCGGCTTCTGCGTTCCAAGTCTGCCGTCAAGCGTTTTCAATAGTTAGTGGTACTCTAACCTTCTCATAAATGTGACTGACTTCAAGAGCATTGGCAAAGGGTTCAGGCCATTTTGATGGCTATGTGTCCAACGTGGCAGAAAATCACTTATACTTGTTATAGAAATTCATCGTGAAGTCGTGTACTTAAGTTCATTACAGGGCCTACTGATACAATAGTAACTTGATGAGCGAAATAAAATGTCCAGGAGGTAATAATGGGTACGAGTTCGACCTAAGAATGCTCAGTGATATTTGTCAGTCTCTGTTTTGGTTCATGTTCGACACAACTCTGTTCACCAATCAGTACCTTCCTTGTCAAGATTGCAAACGATTATAGACTCGAATGGAGCAACGGCATAGTGAGACGCACAAACAAATATATCGATGACAACCAACGTCAAAAACGTGACCGTCACTATTGTCGTAGTCTATGCAAATAACAAGGCTGTGCCGTCCATGCTCGCAATTCTTACAATTAATATTATGAAGAACAATACATTGTCATCATAAGAAAGAATTTTAAAAGTGTTGAAAACGTCGCGTGTATTCCGACCCGTGTGTCTACTGAAAAGTCGTATGGGCTGAAATAATCATATCCAAAAATACGTATACACAGCAGATTCTACCTAAATGTAGTTTACAAAGAATGAATATATAGAGGCTCCAAAGGAACTTAGAATAGGTTATAATCGAGAAAAGAAATATAACTGTCATGGTGGGCCTATTACATTTTGGCAATCAAGTTTTGCCTGTCACCAAAAATGTAGTTCCCAAACATACGGAATATTTAAGCACACGCCATGTTATATGCTGGAACAACACAAATAAGATTGAAAAGCACATTTAGTGAGTAAATATTTTTCGAACAACTTAAGTTTAAAATTCTGAGCGTAGATGACAACTCCGTGAGCCAATACATTCACAAAAACGTGCCTTTTCAGGCTACTGAACCTTCGCCTATGTTCAAATCAAACTTGACGTTTGAAAAGCTTAAAAAATACCTATTTACTGTGTAAGATGAAGAGAATTCGCCGTTATTGTCAACTGCTACATTCAATATCGGAGATATTCTATAAGTCATCCATTTGACGGCTGTAGGCCGTCACCATCGTCAAAGAGGTTTGCACCGCCCACGCTTCCTTCTGTCCACTGGACCCAAATCCTCCCTGCCAGTATCATCAGCTTATCATCACTCGCAACACTCGGCGGCAATACATTTCGTTGGCCGATGCCCCCGTCGAGCGTGCGGCAACGTTCGAATATCGAACGTTCGAGGATGGATTCTATGGCAGCCGGTGGCGCGGGTCGAGTGCATAGCAGAATTCACGACGACGTTCCCTTGGTTCCTTCGTCCTTCCGATTCAACTCGTGCTGGGCCTCTATGGTACTGGAAGTCAGGGTAGGAGGAGAAAAGGGGCGGTAACTTAGCGGAGACGACTCTGGCACAGTCAGACGTAGATCGCAAAGTCGTACGGCTGCATGGAGCCGTCATTTGTTGCAAGCACAAGTCCAAGAGCGGCACGACGGTGCCCGAACTTACGGTACAATATACAGGCCTCAAAAACATCCTACGCTACCTACGTCGAACGCGCAAGCAACGAAGGAGGGCAATGCAGCAGCAACGGCCAGATTTGCATACGCAGTTGGTTTTCGTTTGGCCAAAGGGGCAAGGGCGCCAGAAGGAAAGGCCGTCAACCATAGACACGACGTTTCGTGGACGACGCCAACTAAGAACTCGAATGGGAGGCAAAAACGACGAAAGAACGGATTCTGAGAGACTCATCCTAGGCTCGAAAAACTCAGACCCGAAATCCGCCGGCCCCGCTCGGAGGCAATCGGGCAACCGTTAGCGTTATGTGAGAAGGCTGGTAAGGCAGAATAAAGATTTCTACTACTTTGAATCTGCTCTTTTACGCCAGTTCTAATCTCGATTCGCACGTTACCGACGTTAAAACGAACCTCTAAATATCTCGCTTCGATCCACAGGCTATCGAATAACGTTTATGTCCTGCTGCAAAATATCTTCCTGTTTTTTGCATTTAATGAGAACCTATTTTTCCCCACACGATTATATTTTATATTACACACAATACTAATAAAATGTTCATATTTATCAGTAACAGAGAAAGATCAACATTGTATTATATTATTCCGTGATGTATTGAATAATACAATGAGTTTGATATAGATGAAAACAGGGCATCATGGAAGAGATTCTACGAGAGAAAAGAAATCGGAGATAAACTGGTTATGTTCCAGCGTATGTTTTGTTTAAAGGGCGCACCGAGACAAGAGATACGGACAACATACAGATACATTTCACCAAAAGTTTTGAAAATACGTACCTTTTCTCGAAGGAGATTTCCTCGGGTCGGCGAATGCTTCGTGTATCACTGCCCCACAACACAGCAGCGTTAATCCGAAGGCGAGCCTCATGTCACCAGCACTCCGTGTACTGTTTCATGGCATGCTCTCACACTTCATGTGGTGAATCACAGGTGTAGTCATTATCGCTTCACGGCTAGATCTGTATATCCACGCATTATTGTATCCAATACACGAGATGATCAGAGCGGCGCTGCAGCAACACCAGAAGGATCAAAAAGAAAAGGAAACACAGCTAGTATACTCCATTCACGTTTTCCTTTCACGCATTCACACGTAACGCGAAAAACACAAACAGGACGTATATCACCATATCCCTTCTTTTCTTGTAATGGCTTATACACCAGAGTGTGTACTACAGCGATAAGATTACTACCACAAAACACTGCACACCATAACCGCTTGTTCTTCCTATAAAGGTTCAGAGTTTTCAGTCCGTATTCAACAAGAACCTATCATTCTGACTCTTTTTTTGTTTAAACTGACTCAGCGGCCGGGGCCTGGCACTCTCTTGGGGGCTCTCGGGCCTTTCTGAAAGGCCCTCTAGGGGAGAAGCGGATTCTCGGAGCACATGGCCCCTCAATGTTCCCTCCTCCTCAAATGAGCCTCACCCCTCTCTACATTGGCGACTGTGGCGCCATCTGGGTGTCCGACCACTGAAACACTGAGGCTACGACTAGGAATTTCAACGTCGTACGTCGTGCATGAGTTCATAACTAGCTTAGTAAAGTGACCACAATTAAATTAAGGAACTTCGTTCTTCACATCTTCACTGCATTAGGTACTACTTCTAGTTGTCACAATTTTTATTTATCAAGAATACGTACTTTTACACATTCTATGTTGTTTTCTGTCCAAAGTAATAAACCTGATATTTATTTCGACTTTAAGCGTAAATGCTTTTAATTGATTCTTAACGATTTCTTTGAAGAATCGTCAATACTGACGAGTGCGTAAATCTGCCATGTCCTAATGCTTTGATATTTCCTGGTGGTCAGTGAAAAAGGTGCATGAATTGATTTTTCGCTTAAGACAGAACTTTTTGCGTATTTTATTATGCTGTACGGTTATACTCTTTCAGGAAAAACATCGGAGCAGCCATGGCTGTAATGATCGAGTATTTACTCGTTTGTCAAAATTGTTTGGTCCTCTATCTATGTTTTTTTTTTTGATAATCTTTCGGAATTTCAATGGAGAACTATTATTTTTTATCATGTAGCCCAAAATTTGCTTTATATATCTGTCCTATCGAAATTTAGTTTCAAAGCTACGTGGAGAGATATCTTCAAATAGAAGTGTCCATGTTTCCAGGAATGCCTGCAATTTGAAAATGAGAAGTTTTACGAGGATGACGCAAGCTTCATAAAATTCATCGACGATTTATGAAGCTGACCGTTTGCTCAGCCATTTTTTTTTCGAATCATCGTAGTCGGAAGTCTGTTTGATACATCGATACTCAGACAATAAAGGTAACTGCTTTTGTTCTCTAGCGAATGTGGATTTCAAGTTGGATAAAGGGAACGTTTAGGAACTTCGTTACGATCGTAATACACGCAGTAGTCAGGTCGGCTGGTTATTTATGAGGTTTAACGCATCATCCACAGTACGAGTCCAAAAACCGTTGGAATTATATAGATAGACCTTTTCCTAATGCATATATGGTCGAGTTATTAAGTCTGATACCATGTTTGATCTTAAGAAAATGGCAGGGCACACAATCATGCACATTAAAATCGTACTGAAACGTCTGACGTCTGTATATAAATCTGAACCGCTAAGCTCATATATATATATATATATGCATTCTTGTTTCGTTCTATAACCGCGTTTCCATAGGTATATATACTTTTCGTCTCTAAACCTATTCTTCATTACGTCCGAAGCTGCAAGTCTACTAGTTGCAATTACGGCTCGGGGCTTTCTGTTGATCATTTGAAGGTTACTGACAAATACACAATCAACTTCGCCCAACCTACAACGTTTGGTTATTATAATTATTTTCAGTGTTAATTCACGCATAGGATAGGACATGCGTTGTTCATGCGTCCACTTCATGATGTTTATTGTTTCATGCTATGATGCAATATGAATGCATCATTTCTCATATACGTACTATATAGTATGCGCCATTCAACGGTATGGTGAGCCGGAGTCTGAGGGCGGTAACAGTAGGCCCCTAACACCTGACGGGTGAATCAGCGGCAGGTCTCACTTGAGCTCTGTGTTCTTCCGTATGGCACATTCGAGGTAGTTACAATATATCCTAAACTAACTGAGCAAATCAGTGCAGAAGTTGCACTTTTCGCTGGGACAATAAACCCGCTTTCATTTGTGCTGAAAGCTCTACAGTGTAGTGATTTCTATTCTGCGGCTGTTCAGTGGCACAGCGCCTGCGATCTAGATTGTGAAGCTGCGATTGGTCATGGAGAGTATCTATGGGTTGCGGAGAATGGGTCGGGTACACTTGGTCCCCTTTTTCTTTGTATAAGCGGTAACGACAACGTCCGCCACTCTTCTACCCATTCGCCTATGGCCCCACCCACGACTCAGTGTGCAAAGTACAGCACTATTGCAGTGATGGCTACCCCGTTGATGTGCACAACAAGCAAACCTAACTTCCCATTGCAGCCTGAGCTCCGCTGCCATCGTGAAAAGTTGACATCGGTCATAGAAGTTTGAGCGGATAGGTTCTGACACAACAACTGTATACGAGGCTGTTGGAAGCTACAGAATGTGCAGACCGGATTCGGTAGCACTCCTTATAGGAGAACAGTGAAAGTGGGACGCAGCCGTACGGGGTGTGGGACTAACTTCGTTTACGGATCAGCAGCGGTGGGCGGTGGCTGTATCAGCCGTTAACTGGAAAGGATGTCTACTGGGTACGTCAATTCTGCCCCACGTTCTACAGCGTTGCGTCGATCCTGCCTTTGAAAGGCTTATAGTTCAGCGTGTTGTGTCATGGGAATCGGGTGACGTATGAAATGTAGTAACGGCACTAAAGTGGAACAATTGTAATTTCTGATAGGGAGATTTGGATTAGCCCGGGGGTCGTTCGGTAATGAAATTCTGTGAAAACACTTCTTTAGCAAGCCTTCTTTTTCGTTTCTTGTGAGTTAGGCTTAAAGCAGTCAGTAAAAAAGGTATTTGAATAGCCCTCTTAGCATATACTAGACGGACTTGTGGACGCCGTGCTTGCAGTTAACTTAACTTAATTTACTCGTATCGCAAACAACCTAACGCAAATTATTGGGTATTATTAACTAACAATTATTTCGATGCAATTACCCTCTCTCGTCTGGCCCGTTAACGTATTGAAGTTATTTCATCACTCTGTGTCAATATATTCACCAGGAGGCTCGACCGATTCCAGACTTGTCTTGCTCATAATATGTTTCTACAATGTAATTACTGGGCTTTTTTAGCATTAGTTAATTTGCTCTATTTCCGTGAATAAAATCGGCCGTTGACCGATCCTTGAAGGACGAACGTGTACTAAATGCTTGTCTTTGGTTGCCGTTTATTAGAGATCGCAAGTAATAAATATATTTAGCCGACCTATTCATTCTGTTCCATCACTTCATTGCAAACCGATTATACTAATAGGATTCTTGTAATGTTGACTCAAAAATATTGATTTCATATATAAGTATTGAATTTTTATTTAGCTCGAGATCCATAGATTTGCTTCCAGAAAAACCTCTCTACACAGTATATCATATGAAGTTTTAACCTCCTAAAACGGTATTTTCGAGCCCAAAATTGAAAATTAGGTAGATGAATATGTACTGCATCTTGATTCAGCTCATCTGAAGCCTGCGATTGATACTAAAATATACTTTCTGCCAAAAATTTCAAGGAAAAAAATTTATACCAGTGTCATACAAGGGAAAAAATTGCCACATCCGGTTTTTGGATTTTTTCCGGAAGGTGTATTGCATTTTTACTCAGCTCATGAACGTGAAGAGCTGGCGGCAGGTGATGCATGAAAAGTGTGTTTTTTTTTTGTTGTTTCATTGATAAAATAGTTCAAAGTATATTTTTGAAAAAATGTTTATAAGGCCGCTATAACTTTTCAGTTAGCACCTGTCAGAAATTCATCCATAAAGATATTCAAAAGCTACTTAGAACGCATTTTGGCCATGCTGTCATGTGAGCGAAATGAACCTCACAACGGGCTTTTGACCATATTCAGGCCAAAATGTCTACTTTAGGTATAGGAAAATATATAGCTTCGATTTAGCTCGACGAAAGCGTTCCGTTAGTATCTAGAACGGCTTCTTTTACATAGAAGTCCGTGTCAAATTTTCACCCTTTCGGGGAATCTTAAATATTGAAACCGAGACCGCGTGTAGTGATCTGTATTGCATTTTGACTTACCTTAGCAAGAGCTTTCGGTTGTTACTGGAAACGAACCCCTTCCTCCCCTCCCGCACCCCCTATATAAGCCTTCATTCAAACATTTGACTGCCATGTTCGCGGTAGAGAAAAATTTTCCATTAAATGAATCTACCAAAATACCATTAACCTAAGCCATTACACCTTCCTAATCGGCACGTATAAGTAATTCTTGCGAAGAACAGCCTAAAAGAGGCAAAAATCGCAAAAGAAACGAACAATTTATTCAGATTAACATTAAGCTCTATGAAATGAGAAAAGAAACTCCCCCGGGAAAAGTATTCATCTAATCGGGTACATATTACGCTAAGCTTTTCCAGGATGAAACTTTAGCAACCCGGCAAAAATCATCTGGTTTTTAAAAAATTGACTTGTGTTGGTTAATCAAAATAACAACCAGAAATAGATAGCAGTAGATAAATGGGTAGATATGTTTATATCATATATACTAAAAGTAAGAGTAGTATTAATAAAACGATAGGCTTTGGCCAGCTAAAAGCCGTCATATCCGCTCTTGTGGCGATGAAATCGCTTACCTCTGTGTTACCTACAGGCAAAAGTTTAAAGCGTTCGATCGTGTGAGTCATATTTTTCAAGTTTTTTGACTATCTATCGATCGTACCTCGTTTTGTAGAACATCGAAATGCAGTACCAAAAAGCATGCACCATGCTCTATGCTATCATCGAAATCAAGTAATTACAGATTGTGCCAATGGGAGGTTTCTGTTACTAGCCTATGAACCAATAGCAAGTAACAATAGACAAGACAGCGACGAGGGCTGATATACAGCGGCGAGTTTGGATGAAAACATGGAAAATTATTGCTAAAGGATTTTTTAATAGTATTCCAGTGATCGCAGGAGAGTTAGGCATCTTACGCAAGGCTTGAATTGAGCAAGAATTGTGCCACACAATTTAAATTTGGGCGACTTCATATTAAAACTATGATACGTAGTTTTTAACGTAACTAAAGAGGAGACAGTTGCTGCTCCAGCGCATCATTACAGCTTCCCCAGCATCAAGCGGGAACAAAAAATTGTGTTCCGAGTCAAAAATCAAACTTTTCAT